TGAGGGCCAGAAGCGGGGAGGCCGGAAGCAGGGGGCGGGGCTTCATCATGTGCCCCGCCCCCATACCTCACCCGGGGGAACTGTGATCCCCTGCGATCCCCCCCGAAATGACCTCTGCTTGGCCAGGCTTCCTGGTCACTCTGGGTCCCTGCCACCTCATTACGTGGGCTCCCTGACTGGGAAGCCCCTCACCAGGGCAGCCCTGCTGCATCAAACCAATCGTTTCCAACAATGGCCGGTCAGATGCCACAGAGAAGCCCACGAGTGGAGCCTGCTGGTGGTAACCCTCCCCTGCTGATTATCCTCCAGCGTCTGACAGTCAGCGGGATATTAACACTGTAGGAAGCATGCATCTTTGTGGTTGAACCAGCCTGCTCTGGTCTGCAGGCCCTCCAAGGTTCCCAACACCTGGAGTGGATTTTCTTTCTCAGGCAGCCTGCTGCCGCCACCGCCTTTGTAAAGGAATCGCCCACTGGGAGGCTCAGGGCTCCCAGCTTCCCTCCCAAGATCCGAGGCCTTGTCTCCGAGTCTCCCGCTGCCCAGCTCCTAGTCATCACAGGGACAGTTTACTGAAGGAAATGTTCACAAGCATACTTTTAGCACAGCACCAGATTGAGCAAGGGATTTAAAAGAAATGGGTAAAACACAAATCCTCTGTCCCTCTCTGCGGTGTTCCTGCTAAGCTGAGTTGGTGTGAGCTAGCTCACAGATTTTTAGCCTCCAGCTCACAAATTTTCGTCTTAGCTCAGGAAGGATGGCTCCAGAGCAAACTAATTTATGCAGTAGCCAAATCGCTCACTCACAGCTTTAATGCCAGTAGCTCACAAAGTAGAATTTTTGCTCACAAGACTCCAAAGCTTAGAGGGAGCATTGCCTCTCTGTATACATGCCCTATCAGATGTTAAAATATAGGACAGGCTCCTAAAGCATAGTAAGTTACAGATCTCTACACAGTTTCATTTCCTTGAAGCTTTCTGTAGCTCTCTGGGCCAGCACATGGTCCATGGCTGGCTCCTCCAGACCTCAGCTAAGAGTTCTGTCTGCCCTGATTAACCCAGCATGAAAAAGAGCTTCCTCCTTGCACCCCTGAGTTTTATCACCTCTCTTTTCCCCACCTACTGATCAGGTCAGAGAGGCATTTCCTGGAGCTTCTTCCTAGAGATTATTCCTGTAGCCTTTCTAGTCTAAAGTCCTCCAAATCTCTGCTCCCTGCTTGGAGAAGAGGGAGAGCTTGACCCACCCATTATCTCTCCTGCTAGATCTACTAGCATTTGTATGAAGGTGGGCTGAGGAACAGCTGGAAAGCAACGCTCCTTCTAAGCTATGGAGTCCTGTGAGCAAAAATTCTACTTTGTGAGCTCCTGGCATTAAAGTTGTGAGTGAGCAATTTGGCTACAGCATAAGTTAGTTTGCTCTGGAGCCCTCCTTCCTGAGCTAAGACAAAAATGTGTGAGCTGGAGGCTAAAAAACTGTGAGCTAGCTCACACTAACTCAGCTTAGAGGGAACACTGCTGGAAAGCCATTGAACTGTCTCCCCCCTCCCTGCTTGTTCTCTGCCCAGAGAGAGAGAGAGAGAAAACTTTTAAAACACACAGCTAAGTTTTTGCCTGTTTCAAAAGCCAAATAAAAAATGCATTTCTCACACCCTTGTCTGGGGTATTCTGTCCTAGACTCATCTGCATTTGACTCTGGTCCACCTTTCAAAATAAATGTTGGCACATGGTAGGAATATGGTGTGCCATCATTACTTTGTCACACAGGCAGTGATACTTCATTAGGATTAAAACCAGGGGTCATTTCCTGCAGGAGCACACAGGAGCGGAGCTCCGGCAGTAAAGGTCCCAGGGGGCGGGCATATGCAACAAGCCCCACCCCCTGCTCCCAGCAGCCCTCAGTCAGAGCAAGAAGCAGCCAGGTAAGCTGCAGAGCCCCCTCTGTCCCCCCGCCCCAAAACAGTCTAGTGGCACCTTTAAGACCAAGTTTTATTCAGGTACAAGCTCTCCCTCCTCTGTGAGGGTCAGATCTGCATGTTCCCCCCCCCACCCAATAGCTAGGAATCCAAAACAGTCCAGTGGAGCCTGAGCGGTGGGTGTTGCCTTCTGACACACTTCCAGTGATGTCAGGGGGTGTAGCATATGCAAATAAGTTATGCTAATGAGTTATGCTAATGAGCTCCTGCACCTCTTTTTCTACGAAATGACCCCTGTGGCCAAGTAATAGGAAGCAGAGCACCTCTTAGCATTCACACACCGTTAAAGTGCCTTCACAGTGGAAATGGCTTTTCTATCGTTTGGCCTTTATTTAATTAAGAAAATCAGCAGTGCTCACCTGACACACATCTCAGTCCCCATGGATGCTAATGACACCGATTGACAGCTCGGGACTCCAGAGAAGGCTGTGGGATGTGCCCACAGATTAATTTTCCGTGCTCAAGGAGCTCTAAGGGGAGGCCTTGTAACCTGAGCCGAAGAAAAGATGAAGTCCTCAGGCGTTCCCGCAGAGATGCTTAATCGCTGACTGGCAGTTTAATTAGCTGCTCGGGCAGCTGCTGGGCAAGGCTGTCTTACGGCAGGCTAAGGGCTCGCACGGGCCCTTACTGTCCAGCTGGGAATACACAAATCAATCTTTTGCTAATAAGCTGCAGCTTCAGGGGCAGGGAGGCAGGCCGGCGCTTTCTGCCTCAACACCCAGCAGGGCTCCGGTTTACAGCTGCAGACCATGGAGAAGGAAGGAGCAAGCCTTTGCAGAGCGGGCTGGGAAAAGGGACCTTGGCGGCAATCGGCTGAACGGTCCTTGGGGAGTAAGTAAGCCCTGGCTAAACTCTGCAGGCGAGCATGCAGCAGGCCGTGAGGGGAGAACTAGAAGGGCCCCCGGGGTTGGGGGGGGGGGGGGGGGGGCTGCACGGAGACTGTAGGTGGAGGAAGGCAAACCTTTAAATGTCCCCTTTCCCCTAAAGCTGACAGGGGTTATCAAGGCCTTTCTCAAACCATGCTCAGGACTCTCCAGAGAACATCCAGCACTCTCAAATGTTCAGGTACTCTCATCAGATACAAGCAGGCATGGAGCTCCCTGTCCCTGAGCCCTTATATTGTGTTCTAGCCTAGCAAACATGGTCCGTGCTGAAAGGCACCATCGCACTTTGCGCACAAATTCAATTTTCCAAAATTGCCTATGATCCTTTTTCTTGGCTGCCTCTATTAGTGTAGTCCATCTAAGCTTTCTAGCCACATTTTTTCTTACTTCTCAGGAGGTATTTATAGGCCTTCTTTTTTGCTTGTACTTCTAGTTTATTATCTATCACCGGGGTTTTGTGAAATTCTTTAAGGCTCCCAATAAGTCTCTGTTTTGCCTGACACACAATCCTTATCGAACCAGCTTTTATTATTGGGAAGCCCCAACTGGGAGATTAATTTCATGCGATAGAATTGAAGATAAATGGGCCATTAGTTGTGCATAAATATTAAGAATAGAGGCCTCACACTTAGAGCCCTCCTCCGTCACCGGAGATGATAATTTTCTATAAGCATCCTTCCCTTTAAATTTCCCCTTCCCCCTAAAGCTGACAGGGGTTACCAAGGCCTTCCTCAAACCATGCTCAGGATGGTCCAGAGAACATCCAGCACCCTCAAATGTTCAGGTACTCTCAGCCACAGAAAACTAGCATGGCAGGCCAGCGTGGGAGATGAGATGTACACAGTGAAGGTTCTCTCCCCCTCCCACCCCCCACCCCCCGTGGGCAGAGCCTTTAACATTCAGGCCCACACCGACAGTAAGAACATCCAGAATGGGGTCCTCGGGACTGCCACAAATTCGAATCTAAGACAGGGGAGCAGAAGAGTGACCCCTATCACAAAAGGGGCGAGGCAGCCTCCCCCCCACTGCTGCCGCTAAGATACTGTGCTTTGTTTTCATTGCTCCGGGGAGGGGCGATGCTACGGTCTCCTGGTTCCCTTTGACACTTCAACGAACCATGGCTGGCTTGCAAGCGGACTTCAGAACGCCCATGGGAAGATGAAGAAGATGTGACTCCGAAAAAGATTGCTATCATGAATGATAATATGTCTAACAAATGTTGGAAATGTAAGAAACAAGAGGGTTCATTTTACCATATGTGGTGGACTTGTGAAAAAGCAAATAAATATCGGACAGATATACATAGTGAGATGCAAAAAATTTTAAAGCGTGATTTTAAGAAAGAGCCAGAAGTACTACCTGTTGGGGCTTAAAAAGGAAGAAGTGAATATGACCAAGAGAACTCTGATGTGGTATTTGATCACAGCAGCCAGAATGACTTTTGCTCAGTCTTGGAAACAAGAAAGAGTGCCTGAAATCTGGGAATGGATCAAAAAGTTACTTTTTATAGTGGAAATGGATAAATTGACAAGGAAATTAAACAACAAAGATCCAGAGGAGTTTATGGCGGATTGGGTGGACTTCAAAGAATATCTGGAGAAAGATTGGGGTGTGAAGAATAATCTATTTTGTTTTGATAATTATTAAAAATAATTGATGGACTCCGAATATTCGATAGAGATAAGAAATACAAAGAAAAGGTTACCAATGAATTTTAATTGTTGATGTGTAAAGATGAGAGAATTAGAAGAGGAGGAGCAAGGAGAGGGGGTGGGACCACTGCGGGAAGCCAGAAGAGGAGGCGGGGGTTAAAGAAAGGGATATGGGTTGAAAATATTGTTCTAATGTTGATCTTTGTTATAATATCCCACCAATAAAATGTGTGTTTTTTTTAAAAGGAAGATGAAGAAGATGCCTGGGATCCAATTTGAGACCTCCCCTGCATCTCCGTTCCTCCACCTGAACTAGGATGAGCGCGGACGAGGGCTTAATGTTAAAAACAGAGCAAGAATCAATGCACAGAGCCTCAGAAACCTGAGCAGTCTGTACTGCCCCCTCTCCTGTGAAGAGGCGGAGACCACCTGCGCTGCTGTCCGTGAGAGTGACAGGGAAGGGGTCTGTAGGAAACCTCCGATAAGTCGTCTTACCTCCTAGTTCTGACACGCGGACGTCATCAGGCTGGCAAGTGTTTCCATGTGCTGACAAAAGCTGTCGGGATCAGGGAGTAAGGCACGGTGGTGATACAGTTCCACGTGTCGGAGGTAGGGTCGTAACAATCCAGCGTTTTGCACCTCTGCGTCCCAAAATAGCCACCCACCACGTAGAGTTTGTTTCCTGAGGCCAGGGCATGGCAGGACATCCGCTTGGCCGTCATGTCTCCGATCCGCGTCCACTGGTCCGTCTCGCAGTCGAAGCGGTAGGCAGACGCCGCTGTGAACTCTGTATCCCCGCCCATGATGAAAATCTGGCTGCCGAGGACAGCTGCTGCCGTGTAACGCCAGGGCTGGGGGCACTGTGCTTTGATCGTCCATCGGTTCTCTGCTGGGTCATAGCACTGGACTTTGGACACCATGTCCCGATGAATGCTGGTTCCGCCAAAGACATAGAGCTTCAGCCTTGCACTTACGACCGCTGCGTTGCTGACGCCATCCCTCAAAGGGGCCACCATGGTCCATTTGTTGGCGATGGGGTCATACTTCTCCACCTGCTTCAGAGAAACAGACGGGGAAGCAGGGAAGACGCCAGCCACTGCAGTGTGGCCACCAACAACATAGAGGCAATTTTCAAGTTCTGCTGAGCCATGTCCAAAGCGGGCTATGAGCATTGGGGCAGCTTTGGACCACTCCTGGTTCACGGTGTCGTAGACCCAGACATCCTTTGACACTCCGTTTTCTGAGCCTCTCCCACCGGTAATGTAGACTTTGCAGCCAATGGCACAAGCGCTGAACTCCTTCCTCGGACTTGGTAGGTCCGCTTTGGGAATGATCTCTTTCGCCTTGTGATCCACCTGGTAGACCTTGTCACACATGAATGTCTGGCCACCCAGAATGAGCAAGGTGTGCCCAGCTTTGCGGGGCCTGGCGCAAGGGCTTGTGACCACCCCGTCGTTCTGCAAGATCTTCTTTTTGCACTGAAGGGCTTCGTCCATAATCTGCTTGTTCTGCTCCTCTGCGGTGATCAGCTCTTCGTAGGTCATGGCTTCCTTGAGGCATTCAGAAGGCAGCAGGGCCAAGCGCACGTTCTTGAGTAGTTCTGGGAGGAACGCCTTTCGCTTGTCCGAGTCGTACTTCACCCACTGAAGGACGGCCTTGAAGACCTTCTCCTCCTCCTCGATCTCCAGTTCGTCGCTGGAGACCAAGTCTAGCAACGTATCCTTGGAGAGGGAGTTGAAGTCTTCGCTCCCGTGGACCATCTCAAAGTTGGCCAGGCACATCCGGCAAGAGAGCTCATAGAGCCTCCTGCACTGGTGAGCGTCTGAGAGCATCATCATGCCAAGGCAGTTGGAGGGGTACAAGTTCTTCTCAAGGAATTCCGCCGCTGCATCTCGGACGTCGTGGAACTGCAGCATGTCGCCGGCTTCCAGGAGGGATTCGGCATTCTCCTCGTTGATGATGATCTTGGAGGAGTAAGCATAGTCCAGGAGCAGCTCCAGCACCTCTGGGTGCAGGCTGTCATGGAAATTCACCTCGTCGCCGAGGCTCTCCCGAAGGCCATTGCTGAACATGGCCTCAAAATACCTGCTGGACGCTGCTAAGACTGCGCGGTGGCACGGGAACGACTTATTCCCGGCCCAGAGGGTAACGTCCGTAAACATGCAGTGCTTCCTCATGGTGTTCAGGTGTGACAGGACGCAGTCTGGGTGGGAGGCTTTGTGGAACAGCAAGATATTCATTGAACCGGTACTGGTTCGGGATTTACGGTTCTCGTGGACGCTCACCGACATTGTTTATGGGAGTGCTAGCTGTGGAGAAGGGAAGGGAAGAAACAAGAAAGATCTTGAATTTCAGGAGATAAAGACTGAGATTTCAGGGGGGGTTTTTTACCCCCCCTCCCCCAAATTAGAAAGTCAACCAGAGTGGGGATCTATTTCTTGTACAGCTAAAGCAAGCAAAATGTGGCCCTGCTGCCTAGCAACCACCCCATCATACTATAGGATGGAAAAGTGAGATCAACACCCAGGGCTTTTTTTGTAGAAAAAGCCCAGCAGGAACTCATTAGCATAATAGGCCACACCCAACAGCAGAAACTCATTAGCATATTAGGCCACACCCCTGATAACACAGCACATTAACACATTAGGCCACATCCCCATGTTACCAGAAGTGTGGCCATCCAGCCACACCCACCTATTGCTTTTTATTCTGTTTACCTTGTTTGTTGTCAAAACCCAGGGCTTATTTTGGAGCAGGAACTCCTTTGCATGTTAGGCCACACACTCCTAATGTAGCCAATCCTAATGAATTTCTTCTGTTGGGTGTGGCCTATTATGCTAAAGCATTCCTG